GTTGACAGGTATTCGGTGCACACAGTAGATGCGATTAGAGTGATGAATACGGAGATCGTTGACCACCAGCTCATACTGGCTGTGATGCGGCACATCGTGACGGGGATTCGTGAGGAGGGAGCCATTCTTACGTTCTTGCCCGGCTGGTCGGACATCAGTAATGTGAACAAACTACTCAGCAGTGACACCATGTTTAGGTCGAAAAGGTACGCCATTGCAATATGTGTGGCTGTGTGGAAAGGGTACATTAGTAAGGAAGCCTCTATATGAGTTACGCAAGTAAACATAATTAAAAATATAACAAAAGTGTAAGCTATAAGCTCCAAGAAACAGTCATACATGGAGTGACGTATTGGCATTAGTCTCGGATCCTGGTCGGGCTAAACTTAAACGTAGCCTAAATCGTTAACGTAGTTAATTTTGTTATGTGCTCATAGTTTTCTAGTCATTCCTCTTCACTCCATGATGCCAACTGTCAGCCAAAAAGAAGTGTTCAATCGACCACCTCCAGGTGTCAGGAAGATCATTCTCGCCACGAACATCGCCGAAACAAGGTAACATCCCAAGTGTCTGTCAGAGTGTTGATTCCTATTTGATACCGAGGACGTCTACATGAAAATAAAATCAATATATTGCTGCAATGTACGAAAAAATATTTTTAAATCAATATATTGATGCAATATACGAAAAAACATTTTTGGTCTCAATTACATTATTTACCTAATTGAAGCATATGTTTGAAACTCATAACTAATTATTAGTCCTTGTTAGACTAACACTTGTTGTACTTATAAACACTAAGCACTTACTAATCGGTTAAACCTTCACTTGGGAACAGCATAACAATTGATGACGTCGTCTTTGTGATCGACTGCGGAAAAACCAAGATGAAGAAATTCGACGTTGAGAATAACATCACGACACTGAAGGCAGAGTGGGTCGCGCTAGCAAACGCTAAGCAGAGGAGTGGCAGAGCCGGCAGGTAGGAATGTGCTCCGTACTTGTCTATCTATCTCTCTCTCTCTCTTTCTCTCTCTTTCTCTCTCTCTCTCTCTCTCTCTCTCTCTCTCTGCTCGCATGTCTCCTTACTGTCTCGTGCTCTCTCTTTATTGGATCTTCACTTCTCTCTGTCTTTATTTCCCTGACCTCTGTTCGCTAATCTCTGATCCTCGTCTGTGTCCCTCTCTGTGTCCCTCGCTCTGTCCCTCTCCTCTCTCTGGTTTTGCTTCGTGCACACTTTCTTTCTTTAACACCCTCTTTACTCTTCTCTCTCTCTCTCTCTGTGCTCTCTTTCTCTCGTCTCTCTCTTGTGCTCTCTTTCTCTCTCTCTCTCTCTCTGTGACTTTTCTCTCTCTCTCTCTCCTCTCTCTCTCGTTGTGCTCTCATGCTCTCGTCGTGCTCTCTCCTCTCTCGTCCTGTCTTTCTTCTCTCGTCTCTCTTTCTTCTC